TAAGGGGAGGGGGCTCCGAGCGCGGGGAAAGTGAGGGGCAGGGGTGCTGAGTACTTCCTGCCGCGGAGATCCTGGCGTCCCGAAGCAGCGGAGGAGGCACTGGGAGGGCGGGGGTCGCGGGGCGGGGGAATGGGGGGTGGTCTTCGATCGCTTTCTCTGGGAGGGGGCGCTGCATGCTGTCCGGGGAGGGGGCTTGGAGGCCTTGGACGGACCCTTCCGTACCGCTGGGAGGGGCGTCTGCGTGCATCTGGGGGAGCGGTGGGGACCCTGGGTGGGAGGGGTGGAGTCCTGGGCCAAATAGGTGTTCTTGGGTGGAAATGCCCGTACCCTCTCGGAGGGGGAGTGAAGGATCTTCTTCGGGGAGAAGGTGCCCCGGAGCCCTCCTAGCGAGGCTGTTTGGGAGGGCAGAGCCGATCTCGGGGCTGGGCAGGCTGGGACCGGGCTTTGGGCTGGGGGGCAAAGGGCCCAGAGAGGGATGCGGGCCAGGAGGGCCTCCCAGCAACCTTTGGTGGGGTGGTCTGTGAACTCTCCCCACCTCCTGCCTGCTGTGGGCCTTTGTTCCTCTGGGAACAGCTCTGCTGCCAGGTACCTACGCTGACACCCACCCCTCCCTCCTCCTGTCGTCGCAGCCCTTCCTAGTCGTCCTCCCTCTGCCTCGGCGAGCCCTCCTTTCCTCTGGCCCCTGGACCTGCCTGGGTTCAGAGTGCACATCCTGGGAAAGGGGGGTGGGGGTGGGGGGCTGGGTAAAGGTCCAGAGCTGCTAGGACAGAGGGAGGGGGTGGGGGAACGGTGTGGAGAGGGGAAGTCAGCGAGGGGTCAGCCTCTTCCTCTGTTTGTGGCGTCACTAAAGGCCCTCCTGGCTGGTCCCCAACCTTCTCCCTGGAGATCCCAGGCCCCAGGCAGGAAGGAACCATCATTGTTTATGACTTGACCAGAGCCCTCTCCTGCTCCCTCCCCTCTCTGCCAAGCCCTGGGTGGGGCCGCCAGCCCTGGACTCCCCCCTGGTAAGGCCACACACCGTCCATGTCAACAGCTCTCTGGCCCTTTCAGCTCTGCCTACGACCAAGTGCGCAAGACTCGGGTGGCCATCAAGAAGATCAGCCCCTTCGAGCACCAGACCTACTGCCAGCGCACGCTGCGTGAGATCCAGATCTTGCTGCGCTTCCGCCACGAGAATGTCATCGGCATCCGAGACATTCTGCGGGCACCCACCCTGGAAGGCATGAGGGATGTGTATCCTTGACCTTGGCCTGGTGGCTGGCCAGCCACGGCCTGGGGGGCGGCATGGGGCATTCTTTCTCTTTCCTTCCTCCTCCCACCCACCCTGCAAAACAGAACCCAGTCAAAGAACCGTCCCCCCCAGCCCGAGGGGCCACAGAGAGGAGTGGGGCCGGCTGCCATTGACTCCTGAACCGCTGTGGCCAGGTGCTGCAGCTTTGAGCCCATTCTTTCTGTGCCACACCGAGGGCCTGGCTGAGATGTCTATGGGAGCTTTGTCTTCTGACATCTGCAGTTCTGTGCCATGACCCGGCCTCTGCCCACAATGGGTTCTGGCTAACAGATGGATGATTCTTTCCCCCAGGGCCTGGGACTGGAAGGAAGGCTGCTAAGCAGGGCACAGTCGAACTGCCCCTGTGGGTTGCCAAGGCTGTAAATGTCTACTGGAGCAGAAAGCCTCCTCAGTCTGGCTGGTGGTTTTGAACCGCTGACCTTGTGTCAGCAGCCCGCCTCTGGAAGAGAGCTGCCTTTTCGTGAGGGCCTCCTGTGTATCAGGGGCTTTGCCCCCCAACTGAGGCACTCCTTCTACCCCCAATTGGCCTCTGAGCTCATCAGCGCCATTTCAAAGGCTAGAAGACACAGGCTCAGAAAATCTGCCCCCCGGTGCTTCTCTTGCTGCCTGCTCCACTGCGGCAAACAGCAGCCTGTCTTTCCGCTGGAACTTCCTGCTCCGGGACCCACCCCGGTCCCTTCTGGGCTTGAACCTTGCCCAGGGAGGGACAGAGTAGCCTTTGTGGTCCTCCCCTGGTGTCACTTTCTTAGTTTGTTGTCCACTCCCTGCCTGGCTTGATGGCTCTGGTTCTCAGTAGCCTGTGATACCCATCCCCCCACCCCAAGCTCCGCCCAGGCGCGAGGATTTGTCCTGCAGAGTCCACAGCCCCCCGCCCAGACTGCACAGGAAATCCCTGTGCTCATCCCCAACTTGCTGCGGGACCTGAAGCCAGCCACTGCCCCTTACAGGCCTCTTACCCACCCCACCCCAACCCCCAACCCTAAAGCAGCAGGTTTGGCCCAGATAGCCTCAGAAGAAGCTTCTAAGGCCGATGATTCTGAAAGACATTCGGTGCCCACTCCTCCGGGGACAAGCCCAATTGCATGCATGTATTTATCAAATCGCTAATATTTGCTTTATCGTAACATATGAATGTGTACGTATTCCTCAAACTCCTGATTTGGGGCCAGCAGCTCCTCTTTTGAGGAGGAGTGTGCTGTTGGGAATAGCGCCTCAGTTTTCTTGCACAGAACCATCCCCATAAGGCAGGCATTTAAAAATAAGCAAATATTTATCGCAGGCCAGATGGCGTTCCTGCACTATCTCATTTAACCCTCTCAACAGCCGTGTGCAGACGCTTCTAATCCGGATAGTTGCTGTTGGATGAGTACTTAGCAGAGTGTGGTACAGCCTAGGCTGGCTGCTCTACCAGGGCTCTCTTGCCCCAGCCCCGAGAGCACCTGCCAAGGAGCAAGTATCTCGGCCCCTCCCCCACCTGTACCACAGAGGAAACAGATATAGACGGACCCCAAAGCCAGTAGGTAGGGAGGAGCCCAGGTGGCATAATGGTTATACATTGAGCTGTGACCCACAAGTTCAGCGGTTTGAAATCACCAGCGTCGCTGAGGGCGAAAGAGGGGCTTTCGACTCCGGCAAAAAGTGACCGTCACAGGGGCAGCTCTACCCTGTCCTAGAGGGTCACTCTGAGTCGGCATCGGCCGATGGCGGTGAGCTTGGTGTGAGTGGAGTAGGGATTTCCAACACAAGTAGGTCCGTGCTCGTCCCCTGTGACATTCTTCTGCTTCTTAGAATGGAGGGAAACTGAGTCACGCCACAGCAGGGCCGTTCTCGTGGCCCCTGAGATGTGAAGAGACCCCAGCCTGCCACAGAGGGTGGGTTGTGTTGGGCTGGAGTCCAGAGGGCCCAGCTGGGGAGGGTGTGCAGCCTGGTCACCAGAACCTATTCTCCTTAACCCCTTGCCTCCTGCTACCCGCCGGCTCCACCCTCAGCTACATCGTGCAGGACCTGATGGAGACCGACCTGTATAAGTTGCTTAAGAGCCAGCACCTCAGCAATGACCACATCTGCTACTTCCTCTACCAGATCCTGCGGGGCCTCAAGTACATCCACTCGGCCAACGTGCTCCACCGCGACCTGAAGCCCTCCAACCTGCTCATCAACACCACCTGTGACCTTAAGGTCCTCAGTCTTAAGGCCCCCCCACCCCTTGCTTCCAGGAGGCCTTCTGGGCTGGAGCCAGCCTCTGCCCCTGCCTCAGGCAGCCCTCCTAGGGCTGGGAGCTAGGCTTCTCCTGATCCCGGGAGGCATTTCTAGCTGGCTGCAAGGGAAGGGAGTGGGACAATCTTGGCGCCAGCTTCCTGTTCTCCAGGCCAAAGGGCATAGTAAAGGTTCTAGCAACTCCTTGAGGCCCTGGCTATCAGGAACAGCTTCCTGGAGAGAGTGGGCTTAGCAGAGGCCTAGGGGCAGTAGTTTGTCTCTGGGAGAGTGGTTGTTTGTGTCCTCCCCCTGGGTGGCTGGGGGCTGACAGTGACCCAGCTGTTGAGACATGCTCTGCCCCGGGGCAGGTCAGTGCCCAGCATAGGAAGGGGAGAGCCACTTCCTGATTTGCCCAGACTGTCTAGGCCAGCGGTTCTTAACCTGTGTGGTCATGACCCCTTTGGGGGGTGTTGAACGACCCTTTCACAGGGGTCGCCTGATTCATAACAGTAGCAAAATTATAGTTCTGAAGTAGCACTAAAAAATAATTTTATGGCTGGGAGGTCACCATAACATGAGGAACTGTATTAAAGGGTGGCGGCATTAGGAAGGTTGAGAACCACTGGTCTGGGCCTTAGAAGCCTTTTGAAGAGAGCTTCCCAAGCCAGGGGACAGGACAGGCCACGACAGAGAAATGGGACAGCTTGGGGACATGGAGGCCTGGCCCTTATTTCCAGATTTGTGATTTTGGCCTGGCCCGCATCGCCGACCCTGAGCACGACCACACGGGCTTCTTGACAGAGTATGTGGCCACCCGCTGGTACCGAGCACCAGAGATCATGCTCAACTCCAAGGTAGGAGCTGCCTGGCCTTTCAGGGAGGGGACCAGGTCCTGGGAAGACCCTCACCACACACATACACACCACTTCCAGTTCACCTGAGTGTGAGCGCTCATAAGCCCCTGCCCTCTGCCTCCTTGGGTCAGGGTGGTGGATGTGGTGGGAGTGGGGTGGGGGAGGACCCTGCCCACAGGGCCGAATCTGAGGCTGCCTCTTCCCCCAGGGCTACACCAAATCCATCGACATCTGGTCTGTGGGCTGCATCCTGGCTGAGATGCTCTCCAACCGGCCTATCTTCCCGGGCAAGCACTACCTGGACCAGCTGAACCACATTCTGAGTGAGGACCCTGGCCAGCGCAGGGGAGGGGGAAACATCTCAGGGCTGGTCAGTCAGGAGGGTCGGTTCATGGTGAGGCTCTGTAAAGTCTGGCCGTAGTTCCTGGAAGTAGAAATGGGGTCCCTACTAGACAGGCAGGAAAAGCAAGGCTAAGCTCCACCCTCAGGAAGGACTCAGGCTAGAATTCGAGCCCAGGGTTTCCTGGGTGGGCTTGTCGCCACCTGGGGAAAGGGGGCTTCTGAGGGCCTGGCCAGGCCTCCTCCCAGGAGGGGAGGCGATCCCTCACCAGGGTACCCACCTTGCTTACAGGTATTCTGGGCTCCCCGTCCCAGGAGGACCTGAATTGTATCATCAACATGAAGGCCCGGAATTACCTGCAGTCTTTGCCAGCCAAGACCAAGGTTGCCTGGGCCAAGCTTTTTCCCAAGGCAGACCCCAAAGGTGAGAGGTCCAGGGAGTATGGGGGCCGGCGGGCTCGACTGCTGCCTGCCAGCATTGAAAAGGAGCCCCTGTGGCCCAGTGGTTAAGCGCTGGGCGACTAGCTGCAAGATCAGCAGTTCAAAACCACCAGCCATTCCAAAGGAGAAGACTGGGCTCTCTATTCCCAGAAATGCCCAGAGGTAGGTCTGCTCTGCCCTGTCGGGTTGCTATGAGTCAGAATGGACTGATGTCCGTGAGTCAATTTTTGGTCTGGGCACCGGAAGGCAGAGTGATACTTCTGAGAATGCCCGAAGCCTTGCCTTTGACCCCTGACTCCTGCCCTTTGCTAGCCCTTGAACTGCTGGATCGGATGTTGACCTTTAACCCCAACAAACGGATCACAGTGGAGGAAGCGTTGGCCCACCCCTACCTGGAGCAGTACTATGACCCCACGGATGAGGTGGGTCCGTTGCCAGCAGCAGCCTGGTGGGCACACGGGCAGCGAGCAGCCCCCAGGGCCAGTCTGAGCCCTGGCTCTTTCCCCCCACAGCCCGTGGCTGAGGAGCCCTTCACCTTCGACATGGAGCTGGATGACCTCCCCAAGGAGCGGCTGAAGGAGCTCATTTTCCAAGAGACCGCACGCTTCCAGCCTGGGGCCGCAGAGGTCCCCTAGCCTGGATGGTGCCCTGCTCCCTGGGGCCTGGTGAGTGTGGCCCTCTGCCCAGGCACAGGCTCGCTGATACCACAGTGCCCATCAGGCCTCCAGACAGTGCCACGCTTACCTCGCACCTATGACCACTGGCACCACCGGTGTAGCGGTCAGACAAGGGTCCAGAGCTGCCAGACCCACCCACCCCTGTTCACCCCATGCATCTGCCAACTCAGTCACTCTTACAGGGCCCCTGAGGTCACTGAGGGTCCCCTGCACAGCTAAGGGACAGAGCCAGGCTCTAGCTCCCCAGGCGAGCGGTGACTGCTTGGGGAGGAGCCCAGCAGCAGCCCGCCTGCCCCAGGCAGTCGGCCTCCCTCCCTCCCTCGGGGCTCAGTACTTGGGTAAGCAGTTCCCAGCCCTCTGGGGGCCGCCCCCACCCAGGCAGTGCTCGCTCCTTCCAGGCCTTCACCAGCCTGGCCTGGGAGAGCGGAGACAGACTGGTCCAGAGCCCAGTGTCAGAGCAAGTCACGCCACTTTGCGGGGCCTCCATTTCTTGGCGTTGGTCCTGAGAGGAGCAAGTAGGTGCTTCCCTGGGGCAGGGCTTGGTCCTGCAGTAGCACCGTGAGGTTGGGGCCCAAGACAGCCCCGTGTCACAGAGCAGAAATGGATACCACGAGCAACTAGTCACCTACCCTCCTGTGAAGAGGCAGTGGGTGGGGGAGCTGGGGCTCAGTCTCTGGCAGCGCTTTCCGTGGGTGCTAACAGCTCCTTTCCCGCCTGTCTCCTCTAGGCCTGCCTCCTGACCACCCTGCTGCTGGACTGTTAGAAAATGGACACTGTGCCCTGCCCAGCCCCCAGTGGTCCCACGAGGGCGGGGAAGGCTTGGCTGCCCTCTCTCCCTGTGCTTGGAGCGACCTGCTGTGGGCAGGCCTCGGCCCTTCCATCTTTCTGCCTTCCTTCCCCAGGGACTGAGGGGCTCAGCAGACCCCAAAGCAAACCCCTCCACCCTCGCTCTGCCTGCAGCTCCCCCAGCTCCCCCAGTCTCTGGTCATTCTGGAATGGAGGGCCCTTGCTGGCCTTGACACTTATTAAGGGGCAGCGAGAGGGTGGGGGTGGGGGGAGACGAACCTAGCCTGATCCTGCTCATCATGTCAGAACCACACCCCGTCTTCCTAAAAGGAACATCTCCACCTCTCGAGGGCTAGATCCCTGAGGAGCAGGGCCCAGGCCTCGCCCCATCCCCTGCCAAGCTGCCACGTTGACCACCCTGCTGCTTCTGTGTGTGGATGGCCGGAGGGGGGAGGGGGGCCCATGGCGAGCCCAGTGCCCGCCACCTCCCCGTGCCTGTGTCTAATATATAAATACAGAGGTGTGTACAAGGACTCCTGGCTCTGTCTGTGTTCTGTGCCACTTCCCAGTGGTGACTTAACCCGCCCCCGTGAGCCGCCCGCACGAGAGCCCTGCGCTTATGAGCTGGGCTGTGGTCCTCAAAGTCAGCTGTTTGAAACCAGCAGCTGCTCCCAGGGAGAAAGATGGGGCTTTCCACTCCCGCGAAGAGGGACAGTCTCAGAAACCCACGGGGGCTGTTCCATCCTGTCCTGTAGGGTCACCAGGAGTCAGAATCAACCCCACAGCATTGAGTTTGCTTGTGGTATTCCTTGGTGACCTGAGACCTCTGCCCCACCCAGCTGGCCACCTGTAAGGAATCCCAGGGGCAGAAAGAGGAGGGATCCTTTTGCCCCTTAGTCACCCAGCTCACCGCCTCCATTGGTTTCGTGTCTGACTCTCCGGGGGTGGCTTCGGGGTGACACGGGTCCCTACACACCCGTGGATTCTTGGGAAGGGACAGTGGCAAGTGCATTTTGTCCCTTGGCCATAAGCACCCAACCTGTGGAGAGATCAAAGCACGCCGGGGCGGACGCTTCCTCCCTGCGAGTGGCCCCTGTGAGGACAGGGATGGGGAGGCTAGACCTGAGGATATCAGACTGGGTCACCTCGCTGTCCTGAATCTACAGCCTGGCCCCCAGCCAGAAGCAGGCTGAGCCGGTCCTAGGGGCGTGGTGACGACCAGTCACAGAGCCAGCCTATACCAGCCCGGCAGGCAGTGAGGCAGCCCAGTCCTCTGGGGACAGAGCTCGTGGAAGCCGGCGCTCCGAGCAGCAGTGTGGCCATGAGCCCTGTGCTATACTACGCCTTGCCCACTATGGGATGCTACATCATGCTCTCCCTCTTCCTCCTGCGTCGGCCGCGCCTGCTGCATACGCCCTGGGTTAGGGCCTTCGAGTCCAGCCTGGTGGCTCACCGAGCAGGTGAGCTGGTTGGGGGGGTAAGGAGAGAGTCGGCAACACAGGTGGGGTGGGGGTGGGGGGAATCCCAGAGGCAGGATTCTGGAAAGGGGGCCCAGGTTTTAAGGTGAGAGAGAGAGAGAGCAGGCAGAGTGATACCAGGAAGTAGATGGGGTAATGGGGCAAGGAATCTAGGGAGAATGTGGGTGGGGGCCGGCCAGGCCTGGAGACCCACGCCACCGCCGCCCTGTGCAGGCTCTGGAGAGAAGCTGGAGAGTACCATGGAAGCCATGGAGAAGTGAGTGTGCCCACCCCAACCCACGCTTGCCACGGCGGGGATGTCACTTGGGCGCGACAGGTCCTTTGGGGGGTGGGGGGGTGGCGCTTCACAATGGGAAACTGAGCACCCCGGAGCTGGGCAGTGTGGGGCCTGCACACCCCACCTTAGCCACTGTCCCCACCTCCTCCCCAGCTTCCCTCGGTCCATGTGACCTGGCCCCGCCCCCCTGCTGACCTTTGCCCCCATAGCTCCAAGGCCCAGAGAGCAGACCTCCTGGAGCTTGACTGTCAGCTGACCAGGGACGGCGTGGTGGTGGTATCCCACGACAAGAACCTGTTACGCCAGTCTGGCCTGAATCAGGATGTGGACAGTCTGGACTTTGAGGTGGGCTTGATTCCCGTGCTGCCCACTCCCCGGGCCAAGACCACCCCCTGCTCAGAGAGTCCCCACAGCTCCCTTCCTGCCTCCGAGCAACATCCTCCATGCTGTCTCCCTTCAGGACCTGCCTCTCTACAAGAAGAAATTGGAGGTCTACTTCTCCCCTGGTGAGCCCCTGCGCTGTGCCCAGGGCCAAGCCCGGCCAAGCGTCCTCGTCCTTGAGCCAGAGGGAGTTCTAGCTCTAGTGGCAACCTCCCACCCTCTCTTCTCCTCTGGATGCACCCCCACCCCACGGCCTCCCTCTGTACCCATGCTGCCCTGATGCCTCTTCCCACCCCCACCCCCAGGCCACTTTGCTACCGGGTCGGACCGGCGCATGGTGGCCTTGAAGGATGTGTTCCAGAGGTTTCCAAGGATGCCCATGATCGTGGAGGTCAAGGAGGAGAACAAGGAGCTCATTCACAAGGTGAGGCTAGGGGCGTGGCGGGGGACAGCGGGAAGGGACCCAGCAGCCCAGGATCTGAGAGAGGCCTGACGGCCGCTGCCCTGGACCTCGGCTCTTCCTTCCAGATAGCAGACCTGGTCCGGCACTTTGACCGAAACAAGATCACCGTGTGGGCCTCGGAAAAGAACTCAATCATGCAAAAGTGCACGGCGGCTGTAAGCCCACTCCCTCTCCCGGGCTTGAGTTCCCACCAGCGCTTCTTCTCAGCAGCCTGAGGGGCCCAGGCCAGAGGGACCAGGGAAGGTTCTGGAAGCACGTGGCCTTAAGCCAGGTCTCCAAGGGGAGGCAGTGGAGTGGGGGGCTATAGGGGGGCTGGAGGGAGCGGGGGAGTGTGATGGATGGGAAAGAATGATGAGGCTGCAGGTAGGCCTCAAACAATGAGCCAAGATAGGGCTTTGACCCTTAGATATTCGGCAACCCCCAAGTGTCCAAAGTTGTTCCCCCTACAGCCCAAACTTCCCCTCTTCCTTCCCAGAAAGAGAGTGCCCTTTCTCACCTCCCCCTTTCGCTCCAGAACCCCGAGATGCCCTTCTCCTTCACTGTGTTCCGCGGAGTCTGGATACTGCTGCTCTATTACCTGGGGCTCCTGCCCTTCATCTCCATCCCCGAGCGATTCCTTTTGATCTTCCTGCCCTCCATCATCAACAGGTACCAGAGGCTTCTGGGAGCGCTCCCTCACTCAGGGGCCCCTCGACTGGGCCGTGGAGGCAGGAACTAGCTCCCCAGCAGTCCCTCAAACCTTACCCCAAGGTCTCTGAAACATAGTGGCTCTTGTCTGGGATGCACAGATACAAACTTAGAACTCAAACCCTATGGACAGCCATTCAATTCTGATACACGGTGACCCTACAGGACAAGGTAGAACTGCCCCTGTGGGTTTCCGCGCGAGAGAAAGAAAGATCATAACTTTTTTATTTTAAGACCATTTTTTGTGGTTTTATTGTATAATGAGGCATTGAAACATCTGAACAAGCCAAGGGCTGGGCGGTGAGGCAGCTGCTTTCGCCGTCACTTCTCTGACTTACTTACTAGAGCAGGTAAACCTTTTGCATGACTTAAGTCTTTGCAAGGCGTATGCTCTGGAACAACACAAACTTCCCCTGTCAGATGCAACCATCTAGTGTCCAAACATCACCCACAGCACCTGAGTGGCAGCAACACCCCACGCCCCGCCCACTTCGGCCGGGCTGGTGTGTGATGTTTGGAGCATCTGGAGGAGAAGAAGGAAGGAGGAGGAAACAGCGTGAGTGCCCGGCTGGGATGAGGTCAGCCGAAATGATGCAGAGCCAGCCTGGCCATGTCGGTGGTACAAACCCAGGCACCACTGATGTTGGTTAGTAGGAACATCTGGTGAAAGCCCAGGATGGGGTCGTCGGCCTTCAGCTGGCCCCCAACCCTGCTGCGGACGCAGCTATCTGGCATGGGCTGATGGTCCTGCGACATGACCCCGGGCTTGATTTTTCTAGAACGGGAGGCTAGACAACCTCTCCACAGTGGCAGCTTTCTCCTGCCACTGCTGGGCTTCACACGCGAGGCAGGACGCGTCAATATAAATTGCACCCGGCTGGGTTCTGTGGTTATCAAATTACTGGTAGTCATGCTGAATGAAGCTGGATCCAAGCCGTTCCAAATCAGCTTGTCTCGTGGAGACCCGAGGGGCTGGCACGATGGCGGCATGGGGCCAGCCACCAGCACAGTGCGAGACGGTAACTCGTACAGATTTTAGTAATAAGGCCTTTGTCTGATGTGGCGAGACGGTAACTCGTATAGATTTTAGTAATGAGGCCTTTGTCTGATGTGGCGAGACGGTAACTCGTATAGATTTTAGTAATGAGGCCTTTGTCTGATGTGGCGAGACGGTAACTCGTATAGATTTTAGTAACGAGGCCTTTGTCTGATGTGGCGAGACGGTAACTCTCGACGAGAGTAGAAAACCTCCTCTTTCTCCTACAAAGCGGCCGGTGGCTTTGAACTATTAACCTGGTTCAGAGTTAGTAGCCAGACTCCTAATCACCATCACGCCCGGGTGCCTCACAGACATGAACGAAACCCTGGGGAAAACCCATCAACGACATGGCACTGGAGGGTGGGGTTCATTCATTCATCCATTCATCCAATGGGATGGTGACGGTCGGCCAACTCGACGCCAAGTTCAGTTTGGCGTGAGGGTGGGGAGGCCCTGGTGCGCTGACAGTCTGGCTGTGGAGACCCAGTTACGTAACGACAGTCACACTCCACAGAGAAAGACAAGTCTCTGCCCGCCAGTGGGCAAGATGAACAAAGTAGCTCAACCCGGGAGCCGGGATGGGGATGCTTCTTGAGGTGGCAGGCCTGGCTTCTGCTTTTCACCTTGAACAGGACCTCCGGCCGCTTTCCGGCCCCACTCAGAGAGGTCGGCCTAGGACAGCGGTGCTCCACCTTCCTCGTGTCGAGACCCTTTCATGCAGTTCCTCATGTGGGGGTCACTGCCCGCCCCCCCAACCATAACATGATTTTCGTGGCTACTTCATCACTGTCATGTTGCTGCTGTGCTGAATCGTCATGTGTGAATCTGATTTGCAGGATGTATTTTCATTGTTACAAATTGAACACGGTTCAACATTTAAAGCGTAGTGATGAATCTCACCAAACAGTATGCCATCGTATGTTGTAAGACATTTACGTGTTTTCCGATGGTCTTAGGCGACCCCTGTGAAAGGATAAAAGGGGTTGCAACCCACAGGTTGAGAACCGCTGTTCTACCACAAACCTTATTGTACTTACCTTTTCCTACGGGCTCTGCAAAGTATTTGCACTGTCTGTAGCTTCATTGAGTTTTAAGCCCACCTTAGGAGGGAGAGGAGTCATGTCCCATCTAACCCCCACCCCCATCCCAAGGACTCGTGGGGAATTTGAGGCTCAGAAAACTCTGTGGTGTGCCCAAAGGCACACAGCTGGAAAGACCTGGGTTTGTCCTGGGTCTAGCACCGAAAATCCTCCTTGTGTGGAACAATTCATTCAGCCCTTGACTGTCTTAAAAGCGCAGGTGCCCCGGTGGAGTAGTGGTTATGGGTTGGGGCTGCAAACTCCTAAATCAGCAGTCAGAAGCTACCAGCGGCCCTGAAGGAGCCAGAGAAGTCATTCTACTCCCATGAACAGATGACTATCTCAGAAACCTCCTAAGGCAGTTCTCCGCTGCCCTGTAAGGGTCCCCATGAGTCGGCATCAACTCAATGGCAATGAGTTTGGTTTGGTTTGGTCTTAAAAACACGGGATCCAGCCAGGAGGACCTCTAGGCTGGGGTTTCCAGCTCAGGAATCAAATGGAGTTCAATTCCATGACCGGTCTTGGGCCCACCACCCACTTGCTCCGTGACCCTGGGCAAGGTCCATTAGCTCTTGGTTCCTGCCGCTCGAAGGGGAGGGGCACCCCGCGGGTTGGAGTGGGTGCTTTCTGGGTCACTTGGCGCTTCTTTGGGAAGGTGCAGGTTCATACCGTTCACTCCGCCAGACTGACTTCCAACCCCTTCTCGCCACAGGACCTACTTCCCGTCTTCCTCCTCAACGCTGAACCGGCTGTTGGCTGTAGTGTTAAAAAAGTGAGCTGGGCAGGGTGGGTGGGTTGAGTAGCCCCACCGTGACTCTCCATTGCCCTTCTCCTGGGATCCCTCTCCTCATCGCTCTTCCCACCTCCTTCCCCCAGGATGATCATGCGGAAAAGTCTGATCCAACACTTGGAGGGCCGAGGGATACAGGTAGGGCTTGACCAGCACTCCCTAGGCAAGGCCAGGTAGCGGGGTTCCTACTCACAGCTGGGTCTCTTTGCCCAGAGCCTCCTCCGTTTCTTCACCTGTAGGACTGGCTCACGGGTTCGGCCTCTTGGATCTATTTACCTGGGGCTTTGTAAGGCTGAATGTTTAAGTAAATCATACATGGACCTTCTACACTGATCTTGATAAGGGGGCTGGAGAAAGGCTGGGGGAAGGGCAAGCAGGCCCAGCCATCCCCTCTCCTGAGCATCCGCTTCCATGAACCATTCACTCAGCGAATCTCTCCAGGCCTGATGGACTTCCTGTGCATGGCATTGGGGGGGGGCGGTGAAGCAAGGTGCCGCCAGTCAAGAGTCAGGAAAGAAAGGAACCAGGCCCTCCTGAGGGCCATGAGGACAGAAGGCACAGTGCCAGGGTCTACAGCCATAAGTCCCCAAAAAAGAACCCACTGCCCCCCTTTCAGAGGGGGGGGTGGGGAGATTCAGTGCCCCACCCCTGGTAAGGAAAAACTTTTGTCACTTTATGTCATCTAAGCCCTAACCCAGGGTGAAGTGTAGGGGTCTGCTTGTGCAGACCCTCGGATCCTTCCAGGACACCCCGCCCCCAGGGGGCAGGACTGCTCACTTTAAGAAACACTCGAGGGGTGGGGTGGGGGTCAGGGGAGCCCCTCCTGAAGACACGGGCTCAGGTGAGAGGAAAGAAGGGGCAGTCTTGGAGCAGAAGGTTTAGCAGCCTAACAAAGGCCTGGAGAAGGGCGGGGGTGGGTGGTGGCAGGCAGAGGGAGCACCAGAACGGAGGGTGGTGATGTACAGACAACTCTTTTTCAAAGCGATGGAACTATGGAAGTGTATGATGTGTGACTACTATATCAAGAAAACTGCTTAAAAAGAAAGAAACCAAACTTGACCGATGGTGACCATGGATGAAGGAGGAAGAGTTGTTGCGTAGGGGGCACCGAGTTCATGTGAACTGAGGTGGGCTAACTTGGAAAAGGATATCGATAACGGTGATACGACACAGAGTAGTCAGTGGCACTGAATTAGCCATGCAGATGTTGTTGACCGGGAGAATGTTTGGTTGTGTATATTTTTGGCGTGATTTAAAGAAACAACTACATAAATAACAATGAGTACAAGGAAGAAGATGTTCAGTCGACAACTCTTCTTGAAAGGATTGGATTATGGAATCGTATGCTGTGTGGATGGAGTGCCCATAAAACTGTTGTAAAAAAAAGTGGAGGGTGTGAAGCCAGGGCACAACCATGTGTAGGGGTGGGGCGGGTGGGGGGGGGGTGTCTTGAGGGTGTTCAAGACCAGGGGAGAAAACTGATCCAGTTTAGACTGGTTCAGGTGAGATGAGGGTTACCCACCCTGTGGAGAGGCGATTATAAGGGTCACTATGGAAGCCGAGTGCCCCCCAGGGAAGAGGCTGGTGCTGAGCTGAGGTGAGAGCAGTAGAGTGGATGGGAGAGTGGACTCACTGGGAACAGGGGCCAGGCCTGGCTGGTTGATTGGGTGTGGGGGAGAGAGGGTGGGATGATAAAGCTCTCAGATCAGATCAGCCCCCTCACCTCCAGGATTTCCAAAACAACTCTGAGATTGACAGTCACCTTCATTTGTCACATTCAGAAAGAGGTGGCCCGGGGCCTTTCTCGGGTTAACAGTACCATCTCTGCCTCCTTCATTGCCCACTGGGAAGCAGGGGCAGGCATGCTGGTCAGCGCTCACAGGTCAGGGCTCCAGGATGTTGTTTTTCTTTCTTTCTTTTTTTTTTTTCACAAAAAGGGAAGGGCTGAGTTGAGCACCAATTTTCCTGGTGCAAATACTCCCACCTTTGGTCAACAAGTCCCTGAAGGCAGAGTTGGGAGGAGATGGGTGGTAGCACTCCATGTTGCTATTTCCAGTGAAACAGATTCTAGATCCGGGAATAAGGTAGTTTGAGGATATGCATTACCTTTGTTTTCCATACAATGTATCTAATGACAAGTTCCTGTACTTTTACTGTTGAATAGCTACTGTGTTTCTAAAACTCCTGACACTGAAGCTTCAGCTCCAGTCTCAGAGCAGGAGAAGCAGCAATGTTCCCGGTAAAGCGATTTGGCAACTTCCTCCTTTTCAGGTGGTCTTCTGGTGCCTTAATGAAGAGTCCGATTTTGAAGTGGCCTTCGGCCTGGGGGCCAGTGGTGTCATAACAGACTACCCCACCGCCCTTAGGCGCTACCTGGACAACCACAGAGCAGGGGCTGGGGCCCCCCACACCTGAAGGCCCTCTTTCTCGCCTGCTTTTCGTTCCCAATAAGTCGGCCTCAGAGAGGAAGATGGTCAAGCAGATGGAGTGACACGGGGACGGCAGTAATGGGCTCAAACATAGCCACCACTGTGAGGGCGACACGGGACCAGACGAGGTTCCATTCTGTCGCGCCCGGGGGTCACTAGGAGTAGGAACTGGCCTGATGGCCCTGCGCACAACCACAATAAATAGGTACTTTTTAGTCGCGTCTTTGTGCTTGGGGAAGGGCTCTTGGAAGGTGGTGAAGATGGCAGAGTGGGGCACAGAAGGCCTGGGGGCAGAGCCTGGGGCTGGACCCACTGGTTGCACGACATTCCAGACCCAGAGCCACACCACTCCCTCTGCCAGCTGGGGCCTCCGCTTCCCTCAGGAATGTCCCTTGGCAGAGCCAACCCAAATGTCCTGGCCCCCAGCCCCTTTTCTTGAGAGCCACAGATAATGTTCCAGTCCCTTGAAGCGAGTCAGAGTTCCATGCACACAGCAGAGACCCGACTCCCCTAGCCCTGCTCCCGTGGGCCTCTTGGGTGGCAGAGGGTGAGCCTGAGTGGGGCTGGACTCACAGCACCCAGCTGCTTGCTGTCTCAGCAGCCTCCAGCTTCCACTCCAGAAAGCTTGTCTTTCCAGGTACTCAAGCGCCCCGAGGCCCTTGGCCTTCCTCCACCCTGGTCCCAGTCAGGGGCCCGTTCCCATCCTTCTCACGTGGGGCCCCCAGAGTCTATGAAGAAGCATGTTCATCTGAATACAGAGGCGACACCTAGCCCAGGGGTAGGGGCCAGAGGAGTGGATGCCAAAACAAAAAGATTTTGAGCCCAATAGGAATTAAGGGTTGGATGTTCACCCCAAGATTGATGGTTCAAGTCCACTGGCTGCCCCATGGGAGAAAGGTGGGATGGCCCGCCCCATGGACATGAATGGGCTCCCTGTCAGTGGGTTTTTGTTTTTTAATCATTTTACTGGGGGCTCGTACAACTCATCACAATCCATCCATCCATCCATTGTGTCAAGCACATTCATACCTTTGTTGCCCTCATCATCCTCAAAACATGTGCTTCTACTGGAGCCCTTGCTGGCAGTAGGTTTTGGTGAGAGTTTCTGAAAAGGATGAAGCCACTACAGACTCAAGTGGGGATCCCATCTGTCTCTTACCAGCTGGATAATCCTGGGGGACCATTCTCCAGTAAACCCAGACAATAGAAACTGCCTCACTAGCTGTGATGCAGGGATTCTGAGTTAGGTGCTGGTGTGGGAAACGCGGGGGGTTGGCGCTATTCTTTTCAGGGTGCATGCGTTCAGATGGACCACCCTCCACCCCCAAACACACACACCCAGATCCCGGGCCTTGGTTCAGGACGGGGACGCTGCGGGACCACGGGCTGGGCGCCGGCTGCAGCCGCATTTCCGGGCCGGCCGGAGTCCGGCGCAGGGGGAAGGGCAGCCCGGGCCTGCGCTGGACGCTGGATGACGCGCCCCCTCATTTGCATGCTGCACGCCGATTGGCCA